TGGCTGCAAAAAAGGTTAATGAGATATTGGGCTGCATTAATAGAAATATAGCTTCCAAATCATGTGAAGTGCTGGTTCCCTTACATTCAACACTAGTTGGGCCCCATCTTGTGTCCAGTTCTGGGCACACTTGAAGAATGCGGACAAGCTAGATAGAATTCAGAGGAGGGCAACAAAGATGATCAGGGGACTGGAAACACAGCCCTATGAGGAGAGATTGAAAGAAGTGGGCATGCTTAACCTTGAGGAAAAAAAGATTGAAGGGAGATATGATAGCATTTTTCAAATACTTAAAAGGCTGTCACACTGAAAAGAGATAGGATATCTTCTCAATCATCCCAGAGTGCAGAACATGGAATAATGGACTTAGGTTACAGGAAGTTCTATTGTTAGAGCAGTACAGCAATGGAACCAATTACCTCAGGGTTTGTGGGCTCTCCCAAACTAGAGGCATTCAAGAGGGAATTGGGCAGCCATCTATCAGGGATGCCTGAACCTACAGTCCTGCATTAAGCAGGGGGTTGGACTCGATGGCCCTCTGTCAGAATCCCGGAATCTCAATTTGAGAAGAGGGAATAAAACTCGGGTTCGTGGGAAAGACCAAGCGTCCAGACCATCTGAGTCTTTATTGTTTTACCCCCAAGGTTCCCGTGGTACACTCACGATAATGCATGCTGCATTACCGGGCAGGCAGAGATGAACTCTGCTGCAAAGCTTCAATACCATTACAGGGCATTTATAGGTACACAGGAACAGGGCAATTGATCACAGAATGCAGAGATTACAATAAGATTCTGAGGTCATCACATACAGAACAGATAAAGAAATGTCAGTCAATCACACTGTAACAATGAGATTAGTATTGACACTTTAGTTGAGTAACTTGAACCCATCTCCAGGTCTGCTCAGACATGCAAATTCAAGCCACTAGAAACTATTCATGATAAGCTCAGACCCCTATGTTTAGCTCAGACTCTAAACATTCTGCATGATCAGGGCATATGAAGCCCTCTGGGCTATCAAAAGATTATTGTAAACTGAATTCCAACAATGACTATTTATAATGTATATTTGGGCTAAAATGGCCTACTGTAGCCTACAGCTAAAGGTGAGAGAAAGGAGCGGGGGAATGCCATTTTAAACAGTGACAGCTTGGTTTTGAGAAGGAAGACAGGATTTGATCCCACAATGCAAACGCACACAGGAGTAATGCTTTTCAGACAGGATTTATCCAAATTTTCCCCAACACCCTCTAAGCCCCTTCCAACTCTAGTATTCTGTGATGCTGTAAACAGCAAAGAAGGGCTTTTGCCGTGGACCCTGCTGATTTCAACCTCATCTGTCCAGCCATGAATAAAACCAGAATGTTGGACTTCACTCATTCCCGTTTGCTCTTTCTTGTGTTCTTAATGAATAGGCTAAAAGGGTGGAGGCTATGAATGTGAATTGGGAAGGCTTTCTTTCTTTAGTATATATAAAACTGATGTCATGGAGGATGTTGACATTACTGGCAAGAGCTGGGGAACTCCCCCAGATTTATTAGTAACTGGAACTAGCTGTGCTTGACTCTCAGGAAAAGCCTTTGTCTGTCTGTCCTGATAGAGGACAGTGATCTCACTACCAAAGCAGGGCTAGGCTGAAGGGTGGTTGCCCCTTTGGGAAAGCAGTTTCCAGTATGATGCAAGGGCAAGTTTGCCTAACACCTAGTCAATCTGGAGGTTTTTTTAAAGAGTTTTGTGGGTGGGGTGGGTATGCCTATTTTCTTAGTACCAGGTAGATAAGGACCCAAATTAGGACAGTTAACATGGTGGTGTGTAAAGGCAGGTATGGAATTGAGAGGCAGGCTAGTGAGGTAAGAGGAACTTGGCTGTACCATGCTGTGGTCTTGGTGGTTGCAGGGTCGCACTATCAGCTTGTTCTCAGGTGTCTGGATTTTGCTTTTACATTTTGCATGATTTAATACTGGATGTAACAGCTAATAAGGTATATATAACAGAGAGCTGGGTTGGTGATCAGAGAGAAGAGTTAGTTTCTTTCAGCTTCTGCCCACCAAGATACTTAGTTCAGCATCAGAGTATATTTGAGAGCCATTTGCTGATGTCTGTTAAGATTTTAATCTTTTTCAGGCTGTTTGTCTAATTATGCTGGAATGTTTGTATCTTGCATTGGGCCAGAGTGAGGATTTTTTTAAAGAGGAAAAATGCCATTAACAAGGGGAACTGAGAAGCACAGATGCTACTTGGAAATATAATTAAGCCTTGAGCGCAGTTTGGAAATGACTATAGTTAATTATTCATTGACTGTAATCTGTTAGGAAAGAATAGATGTGGCAGTGCTAAGTTGTTGAATGGCTAAAAAGGTGAGACCAGTAGAGTCTTCTTATAGCAGGTTATCACTGATGCCCTCAAAAAGCTAGAAAAATGCATCTGCAGGCACATTTCTTTAATGCAAGAGATATACATTCCTTTTTAATTTCTTATATGGCCGTCCCATTGGTATTAGTTTGAAGCACAAATATAGCTATTTCTATTAAATTTGTAGGCAAATAGCTGAGGATCCCAGCCACACGTGTCCGTCAGTCGGCAGCAATTCTGTGAGCGTTGCTTCTGGGTGAATATGATTAAGGTCGAACCTACTTGTCTAGATCCGCCGCACTCCTCCCCCCGCCCCAAATTAACTACTCATTCAGGCAGTAGTAGGAGAGCTAGTCTATCGCTGATCTCTCCGTAGCAGCCGCCCCTTTAGAACAGCACTTCCGAGCAAACGCCCTTTTCCACGAGGACAAGCCCACGTGTGTGCTATTTAAAGCCGGGCCTACCAGCTGCTGCTGGTTTACGGGAATGACGTGGGTGGATCTTCCCTGCTGGTAATAAGATTGTTTAGAGGCTGGCGGCTCTTGAAATAAAGAAACCCGTAAACACACACACAGAAAAATACTACAGGGCTCTCCCGTTTTGCACTGGGAAATCGACGCCCTTATCGCATTCGCAATCACCCCCTTTGCTGAGTTGCCCGCAGGTTGAACTACCGCTTTCCGCTTTTTTTTTTTTTTTTTGCCTAAACCGCGGTGAGGACCCTTCGCCGCTGCCGTGCTGGGCGGAGGGGTGGGGCCTCTCTGTTTCTGTCGCTGCCCTTGTCCGAGTGCAAGGTGAAAAAGCTGCAAGGGTCCTATCTTGCTCGGTAGACCAAACGGTGGGGACTAACAGCAGGGAAAGGATAGCGAAGACACTCTCCCCGCGGTCAGCAAAACTGTCTGGTTCGGTTTCAGGGCGAAAGTGCGCTTGCGACATTAAGCTTTTCGTTTGTACATTCCGTAAACTTTCTGGGGGAGCGCCCACACCCCTGCCCGCCTTGTTTGTCTCTATATGCTTGTTCCTTTTCCAAGGCATTGTTTTTCGAGGGTGGGACGGGAAGACCTGCGTGGAGATGTTCCGGTTAGCAGGAGCCTGGGTTTCTCCGACATGCCCGAGTGTAGCGCAAGTGAGGGGGCGCCTACGCCGTATAGGGAGCCAGTAACGACCGTTCTCCATTTGGAATAATGGGCAGAGGAGAGGCGGAAGCGGGAGGCCACGATCCACTCATTTCAATGCCGGGCATCGGGAAGAGGCGGGCCTGCCTCCCTCTGCCGCCCCGCCCCTAGATTGGCTTCATTACCGATAGAGAACTCTTTTCTCGGTTCTCTTCATGATGCTGCTTGAGCATCAGTCCCAGTACGTAGTTCTGTGGTTCCAAATGACCGTCCAGAGAGCAGCAGGAGACGGGGTGCAGTGCCACGGAAGGAGGCTTCCTGCATCTGAACTAAAGTCAAGAGCCCACAGCCCACTTGCTCAAATGATCTTGTTCAAGATGGATGGGGCATTAATGGTTAAGACTAGGCATTTGAATTGGGCGTGGAAGGCCAAGCCATGTTTCAGACTTGCTTGTTCTCCCCCGCTCTCCAGCAGCAGGGTACTTGCACATTGTCCCAGCTGCATCTTCTGGACTGTCTACAGATGAGGCCCCACATAAATCTGGGGTGGAGAAAATTAAGTATTGTAGTACATCTATTTGCTGATAATGGAGTCTCCAGGTGCAGAGGATGCAACAAGCATACATGCTGGAGCTTACAAAAGGCAATCTTAAACATCTCTCTGTGTCTCTTGCATTTTTTAAAATTCTAAGCTCTTTTGGGAACCAGTGTTGTCTGAAAAATGGGGTATGAATACAGTATATTCATTATCTTGAAACGATGCTAAGCTTTCACACACTAATTACAGACAAGCTGCCAGAATGTGATTGTCACTTCTGGTTTTGAATTAGCAGATCAAAGCCACATGCAGACCTGGATTACCCACCCTAGAGTAGGGCCTCATGTTTGTTTCACTGTCCCTCAGCAAAAAGCTCTTGGAGTTAGTAATATCAGGACTAGTAGCCAACCCATCAGGCAGAAAGACAGTTTCATAATACGGTCTGAATGCCCAAGCATGGTCTATAAGCAGGATGATTGTGGGTGGGGAGGGGCCTCTGATGTGTATCCACTTTCTACTTGTTTTCCTTGCCTCCCTTCAGACAAGAACTGTAACTGCACAGGTATCAGGAACAGTGAATGAATTACCAAATAATCCACACTCTGCTGGCTCTTAATTTGAAAATGTGTAGACTTGGTGCATCAAATTTTACTAGAAATAAATGCAACCTAAAATTATACTAGCAGTATACACTCTGTGTACTAGAGAAGAAATTCAGAATATACTGGTGAATTAAATTCAGATGCACTGGTGGCATCTTTCACCTCTTCACCTGGTGAGGTATTGTTCTGGTGCAATACAGAAGATAAGTTGAAGTATTACTGTAACCAGTCCTGTTTCAACTGTACTTGGTACAATAGGGAGTTATAAGAAAATTGTTTCACAGTTCCTATGAAGGAGAATGGCTGGATATCTGATTATCTGGATTCCATCCTACAGTGAATTTTGCTGTTTCTCGCTGCTTCAAAACTTCCTTTCTGTTGTTCTCTCCAGGTGCTTGTGGCCCCCCAGATAATCCTAACTATGCATCACTAAAGAATGGAGAATTGAAAGACAGCTATCCTGTTGGGGCTACTGTACAATACACTTGCAACCCAGGTTATGAAAATATACCGGGAACACTTCCTTCTCTTCAGTGTCTTAATACTTCAGAATGGTCAAACATTACATTTTGTCAAAGTAAGTATCTTCATCACTTTTCTCTTTTTGACAATAACAGAGAATCTCATAAAATACTGATGAAATATGTGCAAAAACCTGAAGCTCTCAAACATTTAGTGATTTATTTTCTAATTTAAATCATGTGCAGAAAAATCAAAAGGTGGCTAATATGTCCTCAAATGAGTAACTTCACTTAGTTAAAAATTTATGACTGTAGAACACCCATCCTCAATAAGTCCAGCTATCTGTCAGTATCTTGCATGTATATTGAAATGGGTCCAGATGCTTCAGAAGGTTAGGTAATAATACAGGTGGGGATGAGAGTTCTTGTAGAATTTTGGAAGCTTACAGTGGGAGAGATGATTATCCTGAGGAGCACTCCTTCCATGAGTAAGGTGCCAAGATTGTAATGAAAGTATAGATACTGAGAAACAATATAAGAGAAACAAAATGCTTGGGGGGAGACCCTGAGATTTGCAGAAACAGAATAATAATGATTAAAAGTTGACTGTTCAGTAGAAAGGATAAAGGAAAAGAGAATGTGTATGGCATTGGAATGGCCTGGCTCTCAACTGCTTCCAACACTTTGTTGCAGGCTTTCCTGGTCTTTTCTGTTGCACTGTTCTCTTAGTTTTTTTTAGCTTAGTACTACTGATGACTTGTTACTACTTCTCATAATTAAGATGTGCACTTACAGCAGGCAGCCCCTTTTTGAAGGTTACACCATGTGGAATTTTGAAAGACTTGCAGACACTCTGATAATATGGCTGCCACTGTGGAATTTGTCATTCACAGAAAGGATGCAATGGCTTCTGTAGCCGTTCACAAAACGTTTATTTCTCTGCAAATGCAGCAGTAGTTTGCCTGGGAATCTAACTAAAAGGAAGAGGAGGGGGGTGGGTTCTAAGACAAAGCCACACTTTTGAATCCACAGTTTCCTGTTCCAACATCAATCTAACAAAAAGCAAATAGATGAGGCTTAGACAAACGGTATCTCTACTGAGCCTAAGAACAATACAGAATTGGGGCTCCAAATGTCAAGGCACATATTTCCCCCACAGAGCACAACAAGGTATCAAACTCACAGACGGCAGGCTGCTGATGCTAAGACAAAACAGACACATGGGCACAAAATCCAGGAAGAGCACGTTCCTCATCAGATCAAACACAGTGATTAACGTGTACACCACACTGAAAAAAGCTCATGCAAATAACACAATGTACAAACCAAACACTTCCTCAGTCCCCAACACCCTCGTTAGCCACCTAAGTGTCCCCTTCTACTTCCAGCTTGCTTTTTTGTCTTTATGGGTACAAACTGTACAAAACAAAGTTCTGGGCTGCAACCACACACAATGTTTATGCTTTTACAGTGCCCATGTAAGCCCCAGAGACACAATTAGAAAATAAAAGATGAAGTTGGAGGTTTGTGTTCCTTGTTGCATCATGCTAGCCTTCCTAATGATGAGAATAATTTATTTTAAAAACGCAAACAAATCAGGGAGCCTGTCAGGCACCAAGGGAGCTTTATGCCCATGGATACCATGGTGGAGCCAGGAGGCAGAAAAGTATTTTAATTGTGATTAAACTGCCCCTGCTCTTAAGAATGCTTTGTATAGATGCCTTTTTATAATAAATTTTATAACGCCTGTTTGGTACCAGCAAGTTGCTGGATTATATGGAACATTAAGGAGCATAAATCTTTTGATTATCCTTTCAACTCCCCACCCCCAAGTTTTGTTCATTCCCTCTTATTTGTATTTCCTTAAAGTTAGATAGTCTGCTATATTGTTGGAAATGGCTAGAATTTTAAAATTATTTTATACTATTTATATACTGCTATAGATTTAAAAATACCCAAAAGGTTTCCAAATAATTAAAATCATATTTAACATGGAAGTTTAAAAACAATACAACACAATTATAGTAATAATACAGAGTACAGGAGAATAGCATAAACAATATGGGTAATTTAATTACAAACCAGTGAAAGCCTTAGTGAATGGGTGTGTTTTCAGGAGGTGTTTGAAAAATAAGAGATTTTCTGCATTTTGCTGTATGATTGCTGCTCTCCCCCCTCCCCCCCCCACCATTCCCAGCCCTGATGCCTCCACACATTTATCCATGTTCATTTGGATTTGCCAAAACCGGTATATGGGTTGGATTTGTTTGGAAGCTTCATTCCTGGGAATCTTGCTGATTTAATGGGTTAAGTGTTGGAAATTAAGGAAGATCCCTATGCATCAATTTGTGACCAGTTGCTACTTCTTAGCTTCAGCTACCAAATGGAAATGTGTGGGAAAATAGATAACATTCTGTTTTTCTTGGAAGATGTATGGGATGATAATCTAATAAAACCACAGTTACAATCTGCAGCATGTTGGAGATCCTGCTCCCACTCCCTGGAGGTTGAAGTGACACATAAGGATAGCTCTGCTCAACCAAGGGTGATTTTCTACCACAGACTGGCACATCTTCCTTTAACATTGTGTTTATTTGTTGCCAATAGCAGCACCCCAAAAGTCCCCAGTGTAGGTTAGCCTAAGGAAGACCTCATAGCTGAAGGACAGCAGCCATGCTGCATTTCCTGTCCGGGGGGGGGGGGGGGCGGAGAAACAAAAGAGTGATCAGCCCTGTGTGGACACCTGTGAAAAATCATCAGAATCCCAAGAGGAGACAAATGGGGAGAACTCATGGCACCTCAAAGTAGCAGGATACATTATGAATTACAGTAGCTGTAGAAACATGAGGTTGGTATGAATGGTTGGGAGATTATTAGTGACCTTATGGGAAGGGAAGTCCTTGGAAGAATAAAGGGTTCTTCTGTAAACTAACAGAAGGAGACAATCAACAGTATGTGAATGTATCCACTTTGCATCCGGACATCATGCTTGTGATGTGGGGTATATAATGTATGTTTTCTGTATTTCTTTTGAGACTCTTATTTGGGAAAATCCAATCCTCTTGGTCTCCATTTATTCTAAGGTACACTAGAAAAAAATTGTTTCTGGCTCTCTCAGGCTCCTTTTGGTTTGGGGTCTGGGATCCTCCTGGGTTGCTCCCCCCCCCCCATGGTTACCTGATTAAGTTTGGTAACAATCCCTTTTTCAGAACTGTCCTATTTGAATAATTTTCAGGCTAATTATTTGAGAATTGCCCGTTGTTGAGCTGAAAAACATTTTCTAAGTGTCCATAAACATTTTCACTTTAATAACAATCACAGTGTGTTTTAATACTGGTACTGATTTTTCTTTTAGGAAGGCAGTGTCATCCTCCATCTATAAACAATGGCAGAATTGCACCTACAGGTGACCTCAGGCTTGGTGATAAAGTAACCTTCGCCTGTAACCATGGGTAAATTATATGCTACCTGCTTCAGGAGCTGACTTTGACAATACATTAAAATGCATGTGATAACTCTGAGAAATTAACAAATTATTATAATTATATTTCACATATAAGATAGTAATCCTTGTAAGGAAAGTTTTAAGTCAAACCAAACTATATTGCTAAAATTACAGTAAAACAATAGCAAAATGAAACTCCTCAAAATCCTTTCTACAGTATAGTTGTTATCAGTTAGCCCCGCAGATATCCTCTCTTGCTAACCGCTGCTAATTTTGACTGCTGATATGTCTGTCTGCTGTGTTGTATTTTGCTCATTCATATTTCTTTAGTCCTGAAAATGCTAAAATCATAGGATGGGCTGTAAATAATCTAAGAAACATATTCTATTTGCACATTCAATAACTGGGTTACGATCACACCATGACCCACAATGGATTGTCATGTCATGCAAACCTGAACCTACCCTCCAGGATAGCTTGTGCATGGGCAACAACCCACCCCAGGAACCCACGTCTTGTTCTAGGGGTGGTTGCATCATCCAGGCTTGGACAACTGACTTCAAAGTGAGTAGAGCTAAACAGCTAATGAGCCCCATAGCAAAAAACCTTGCCACTCTTTATATGGGTCTTCCAGGTGATCTGCAACATCACTCATCCTCCAAGTGTCCAAGCAGCATTTGGAGGCATCTAGGGGTCATTGGAGAGGTGGGTGTGGGGTTGGGTGTACTGCGGGGGATGGTGGAGGACAGGACAACCTGAAGGAATGTTGTGCTTTGGGTCACAAAGAGTCGGGCACGACTTTGCGACTGAACAACAACAAGCACTGGCTTTTCTTGCTACTCTCTATGATTATGGGACATTATGAGCTAAACATGGATTTCTCCTTTTTGTTATCCCCACTTTCCCCCAGAAATTAGGAAGCTGGCTCTCAAGCAGGCTTTCCTAGTCCCCATTAAACAGCTACAAGCAGTCCTTTCGAAGTGGCCCACTGGAGGGGCTTTCTGTGGTTGCCCAGCTTTAAAAACAACCCCCCCCCCCCCAGAAAAAAACAGGTACATGCCCATTGAGACCTGAAGTGGGGCAGTGTAGGGACAGAGGGACTGCTGCCAAGGGGCAGCAGGTACCACCCAGGGACATTGCTCAGAAGAGGCTCCAGATGTAATCCTTACCTTTGTAATTTCTTGACAGCTTTCAGAAGACAAGCTATCAAGACAAGCCAAAGACAAGTGATGTTGAGCTGTGGAAATGATTTGTAGAGAGAGTTAAGCCCTTTTCACAGCAAGTTCCTCAAATTTCTCTCTGTGTCCCAGTTCAAAACTCCAAGTTACTACTCAAAATCACCTTTTTAAAGAGACCCAGAGTTTTCACAGCTGCTAAAGCTGGAGAAATTTCTCTTCCTTTGAGAAAAGGGGCAGAGCACCTTTGCCAGTTTCAGAGCACCCAGAGGCTTGTAAAAAAACTGCAAACTATGCATGCTGTTGAGAACTGAAGAGGAGGGGAAATTTGGGGATTGTGGCTGTGTAGACGAATCCCCAGAAAAACTCTCTTTGCAGCTAAAACCACTTGTGCCTTTGGTTTATATTGTCTTCTGACACCTGTCAATACCTTCTAAAGGAAATTATATGGGGCCCCTTCTGGTCAGTGTCTAGTGTTGGCTCCTCTTGTCCCTTGACATTGCTGCAACTGACAGTTGAAATGCCCATAGGCATACCCGTGTGACTATAACAATTAAAAAGAGACTGAACAACAATTGGCAGCCCTCCAGTGTGCCACTGGGCGACTTTAAAGGGATTGACATAACTGTCAAAACAGGAATAAGGACAACTAGCCTTCCTGATTATTGGTGGGGGTGGGGGGAAAGCAAAAAGGACCACAGTGAGCCTGAAACAGCTCACAGTCATGGCAGGGAAGGGGAGAAAACTTGTTTCTGCTGCAGCGTCCCCTGGTATACCTGCAGGAAGGCAAAGCAGGGAGGAGGTGGCTCACACACAAGCAACCAACCCATGGTGGCTGATTGCTAGAGAGGGTTAATGAGATGGGCAAATAAACTCATTATGTCACATGATCTAAAGTGTAAGATTTCACTTCCCCTTTAGGTTCCGCTTAACAGGCCAAGGATCTCTTCGTTGTATTGTTTCCAACGATGAACAAGTTGGTTGGAATGGACAACCTCCACTTTGCAAAAGTAAGATGATTTTTTTAAAGCTTGCTATGATTTATCTCAGTGTATTTCATTATTATCACAACACCCACTGCTCTTTCCAGCCAGCATACTATGGCCACTGTTGCTTTTTTTAAAATCTAGTTTAATATGCTTGTCTGTTAGCGGTACCTGAATTTGGCCACCTAATTCTAGTATTTAATTCTTGTGCACTTTTTTCCTAGAAGATAGAACAAGAGTGGGCAACATGTGGGCCCTGCCATGCACCTTTTTCTTAAGATTATAGCAGAACCAAGGAGGTCAGATATATTTGGGGCCAAAACAAGCTCTGTGACAACTGAAAATGTGTTACTCGGAATATTGTGTAGGTGTTTGTATGCATATGTAACTATTTCCTTTGAGCTGGAACCAATTACCATATTTTACACAGAATTATAACTTCAAATAGTGCAAATTCAGAACAGTGAGACCACTTCATGGGATTCATTATCTTCATCACCTTGTACATATGAGTACTTATAAGCCATCCAAAGAACCTTCAGGTTATGGGGTGGCATAGAAATGGAATGAAATAAACAAACACAAATACAGGAATTGTTGATGGTGCATACCAGGACCAGGTGAAGCTTGCTTTATAGGACTATAGGTTCATGTGGCCCATTATTAACTGTGGCTTGAAGCAGCTGTTCAAGATCTCAGTCTTTTCCTGGCATTGCTACCTGAGATTATTTTAACTAGAAATTGATACAGATTAAATCTTAAATGGACCGAGCTGTGAATGAGCCTGTCCACAATATGGATAGCATATACAGTATCATACTTTGCACATGTTTGATATTTGGTATCTTTTCCCCAAACGTTCTCTTTTGATTGGGCCATTTCCAAGGGACTAGGCAATTTACAAATTTTATCTCCAAAAAACTAGTGTGAGTAAATTCTATACAAAGTATACTTTGAAATATTAATATAAACTACACACATGGACCCACTTTCCTTTTTCTTGGAGATGATTTTTCTTGGCCTATGGGACTGAAATGGTTAAACTGAGGTATTCAGAGCAGAGAGGTAGGTTTTCTGGAAATTGATCCTGTGTTTCGAATAATGAGTTCACCTCTATTGTGTAGTAGCTTTCAGGAGCAATAATAGTAATAACAGCAATCCCTGGATTTGCTTGGTTGGATGATTACTGCACTTAGTTAAATATGTCTTTATTCTTATGGCCTTAACAACATAGTCTTGCATGCAATATTTACATTTACCAATTGTCTTTCTTCTCTCAGTTTATTTATTATTTATTTATTTAAAATGTTCTATGCCGCCCCATTCGCCGAAGCCTTGGGGCAGCTTACAACACATCAGTTAAAATATAAAACACTAAAAATATAAAACACATTAACATTATAAAATAAGTCGCCCTGGCCGAAGAATTAAGCAAATAATATTAGCAATTAAAATGATGTTTGAATAAAAAGGTCTTTGCCTGGCACCGAAAAACAAATAATGATGGCGCCAGGCGGACCTCTCTGGGGAGCGCATTCCATAGATTGGGCGCCACCGCTGAGAAAGCCCTCCTCTGAGTACCTACCCTCCTAATTTCCTTCACGGAGGGTTTCCGGAGAAGGGCCTCTCCCGCAGATCTCAGGGGGCGGCCAAGCGTATATGGACATAAGCGCTCCTTCAGGTAGCCAGGACCCAAGCTGTTTAGGGCTTTATAGGTCATCACCAACACCTTGAATTGGGCCCGGACTTCAATGGGAAGCCAGTGAAGCTGACGGAGGACTGGAATCATGTGAACATAACGCCCAGTCCCCGTCAGCAACCTGGCAGCTCTATTTTGAACCAATTGAAGTATCTGGACCGTCTTCAAGGGTAGCCCCACGTAGAGTGCGTTACAGAAGTCAAGTCGGAAAGTCACCAACGCGTGTGTCACTGTCGCCAGGCAGTCGTACTCCAGGTAGGGGCGCAGCTGATGGATCAGCCGAAGCTGAAAGCCACCGCTGTCACCTTAGCTTCCAGTGCAAGCTCTGGGTTGAGGAGCACTCCCAAGCTGTGGACCTTGTCCCTAAGAGGGAGTGCAACCCCATTCAGGACTAGGTTCAATTCACCCTCACCAAAGCTCGATCCGCTGACCAACAGGACCTCCGTCTTGTCTGGATTGAGCTTCAGTTTATTGGCCCTCATCCAGCCCATTACCTCGGCCAGGCACCGGTTCAGCACAGCCACTGCCTCACCTGGATTGGTGGAAAATGAGAGGTAGAGCTGGGTATCATCAGCGTACTGATGATTCCGCAGTCCACACCTCCTGATGACCTCTCCCAGCGGTTTCATATAGACGTTAAACAGCAAAGGGGACAAAATGGACCCCTGCGGTACTCCATGGCATAGCTGCCATGGCGCAGAGCCATAGTCCCCCAGCACCACCTTCTGGAATCGGTTATTGAGGTAGGAGCGGAACCACTGCAAAGCAGTGCCTCCGACCCCCAACCCCGTCAGCCTATCCAGAAGGATACCATGGTCGATGGTATCGAAAGCCGCCGAGAGGTCCAGGAGAACCAAAAGGGACGCACTCCCCCTGTCCTTCTCCCTGCACAGGTCATCTTACAGGGCGACCAAGGCAGATTCAGTACCGTACCCTGGTCTGAAGCCGGACTGAAATGGGTCCAGAAAATCCGTTTCATCCAAGAGACCTTGGAGTTGTCCCGCCACCACCCGTTCCAACACCTTGCCCAGAAACGGGAGGTTGACCACTGGTCTATAATCAGTGGCCATCTCTGGATCCAGTGATGCCTTCTTCAGGACCGGTCGGACTACCGCCTCCTTTAAAGGGGCAGGTACCCAACCCTCCCTTAGAGAGGCGTTAACCACTTCCAAGATCCTGGTCCCAATCCCATGCTTGGAATTATTTATTAACCAAGATGGGTAAGGGTCCAATAGGCAAGTGGTGGGACGTACTCGTCCAAGCACCTTATGCACATCATCAGGCCGCAATAACTGAAATTCATCCATTAATTTTGGACCAGACGGCAGCATTGGTGTCTCCCCAGAAACCTCTGAGTCACTAGCAGAGTCTAGCTCGTGACGAATCTGAGTGATTTTCTCCCTGAAATGCTTGGCAAAGTTGTCACAGCGGGCCTTCGAGGGAGGAACCAGATCTTTCTTAGGACCTGGATGAACCAGGCCTTGCACCACTCGAAAAAGCTCCGCCGGACAGCATTATGAGGAGGCAATGGAAACGGAAAAGAAATTCTTTTTCACTGCCCTCACTGCCACAGCATAGGCCCGATAATGCGCTCCCTAGTGTGTTCGGTCAGATTCATCCCGTGATTTCCTCCACCTACGCTCCACCAGCCTGCTTCATCGTTCGCAATTCAGGTGTATACCAAGAGGAAGAGTGGGCTCTGCCCGGCGGGAGAGGATGCTTAGGAGCGATCGTGTCAACAGCCCTGGTCATCTCCCCGTTCCACAGTTCGACCAGAGCCTCGACAGGAGCACCAGTCTTGTCAGCCGGAAACTCCCCCAGGGCCTTCAAGAATCCATCCGGATCCATCCGGCTCCTGGGGCGGACCCACACAATCGGGTCCGCACCCTTACAGAGGGAGAGGCCGCTCTCGAGCACAAACCTCACCAGGAAGTGATCTGACCGTGACAGGGGAGTCAAACATAAATTCCTTACCCTCAGACCACCCTCTTCCTGCCCCGTTGAGAAAACCAGGTCCAGAGTGTGTCCATGTTCATGGGTCGGGCCGGTAACATGTTGAGACAGCCCCATGGCTGTCATGGAGGCCATGAAGTCCTGAGCCACCCCGGTCAGACCAGTCTCGGCATGGAGATTGAAGTCCCCCAGGACCAACATCCTGGGGGTCCTCAACACCAGGTCCGAGATGATCTCCGTCAGCTCAGGCAGGGAGACTGTTGGGCAGAAGGGTGCATGGTACACCAACAGAATCCCCAATCTGTCTCAGTTGCCCAACACCAAGTAGAGGCACTCCAGCCCTGGCCTCAAAGGGACCGGAAGTCCCGTGAGGGAGATGGAGGCTCAGTAAACCAAAGCGACCCCCCCTCCCTTCCCCTCTGGGCGTGAACGGTGCTGAACCAGATACCCGGGTGGGCACATTTGAGAGAGGGTGACAACCCCCCCCCTCCCACCCCGGTCTCCATTATGCAAGCCAGGTCGGCCCCCTCATCCACAATCAAGTCATGGATGAGGAAAGATTTATTGTGAACTGACCTGGCATTGAGCAGCAGCACTGTCAGGCCCGAGGGGTGGTTGACAAGGCTACCTGGCACCCTCTGGCTGGGGGCAAAACCAGAAGGAGGGACAGGTGTCAACCATCTGTCCCTCCTTCTTCTACGCGGACACGTTAAGCCCCCTCCGCTGTTATGTCCATTGCCCATGACCACCCCAATGGCGGTGCCCCCGCGCTCCCCAGGAAACACAAATGTTGACATGGCCAGGGACGACTCCATAAAAACAAATTAAAACTGATTGAAATACAATAAAATTATAAAAACAATCCAAACTCCCCATTCCCTCAGTGGTGCGCCCCAGTCCGGTGGTGGCAGCAACTGCGCAGGCCCCCTCCTCTGTGCCGCTGGCGCCGGAGCAGCGTCAGCTGTCCCCCGGCTCGGCGGTACACCCCAGTCCGGCAGCAGCAGCAGCAGCAACGGCAGCGCGGTGCGGCAGGTGGACCAAATTGCACATGGGCCCTGGCCAGCCCAGCCCCCCGCTCAGCCCCTGAACGGCCCCCAAACGGCGGCAACCGGCCTTCGGCCATCGCCCTTCGGCCGCCGGCTCCGGCTGACCACCGGCGCTTTATGGGCCGCGGGGCCCTGCCCGAGCTCCGCCCCTTCCCGGCGCGACTCTCACCTGCACAGGGGAAGCAGGCCGTTGCTAGCATGATGCCACATGCTCGACTTCTTATGTTTTGGCATTATGATTTAACTAAAACTTGTGTTTAGTTTGAGCTATTACCACAGGTTATGCAAACACTTCTCGCTCCTTCAGCTTAAGAGAAGAACTGAGGCACTTCTCAGAAACAAGTGAAACAAAGTAAACACAGTCTTAGTTTGTTTCCCATCAGATTGCGATTGAAGAATGTTAGCCATAGAGAGCAAATACACCATGTTTAATGTTTAACTCATCCAGCTGCATTGTGGACAGGAAAGGTTGTCTACTATTCTATGCCTCATACCTTATTAAACTGATAGACGAAACTAAAATTTCATGGTTGATGACTTGGCACTAGGGTTGTCAGTGTTTCTCTTAGAATAACTTATAGAAGTTTATAACTTACATTTATCTAATCTTAGACGGTTATGGATAAATACAATTATGGAGAAGTACAACTTTTAATTTCTTCTTTTAATTCTTGTTTCTTTGTTTCTTACTGCATACTTATCAAAGTTTGGTTAATATGCAGAGTACTTGAAGACAATGGCAGGGAAAACTGCATATTTTTCCAGTCTACTGTTACTCTTTTACTTGGAAGGGATCACAAAGGGATCACACCCCAGAAGAGGACAGACAGCTGCCTTTAATGGCATGAATATCTGTCTGGGACTAAGGAAGTGAGTTCTCTACTTCTGGCTGGTAACAGGAGGTACCTAGATGTATATTGACTTGATTGAAGTAGTCACCTTGAGGTATCAAATAACTGAACGTCTTTTAATGATTAATTACTTTTGTAACTGTAGTCAAACTTGTTCAGTGTGTTTCTTCTTGTTCAATGTGTTTCTTTTCCCTAGTGATCCATTGCTTTCCTCCACCTAAAATTACCAATGGAATCCATTCTGGTCATGATGATACTGATTACTTATATGGCACTGCAGTAACATACAAGTGTGATGCTGGTTTCTCACTTACTGGAAATCAAACTATTTCATGCACAATTGCAGAAAATAGTGTGGATGGGAAGTGGAGTGGACCAGCACCAGAATGTAAAGGTAATGGATCGGTATCGTGGTTGCAATATGTTCAGCTCTGTAGATCATTTTTAATTCATTAAAAATCTTTGTTTTGGGCTTTAAGAAATGGAATTTATTCTTTTATGTCCATTATGATCTTGGTCAAAGGCAGCTATTGTTATATTTCCTTGTCATTCAGAAGAAGTGCATTGAAAACAGCCTGTGTCTATATAGAGCCGAGAACTGAATCCAACTCTACTCTCTTTTCAACCAGACATTTTTACTACCGGTATTCGTCCCAGAAATGAAACGAGAAATAATACATCAGGTGAGTTATATCAATTTTTGACTGATAGCATTCTAAAATATGAGTCTGGTTAACATATGCGCAGTGGTGTTCCATAGATGTTTCATCATCATCTCATTCAGAATCCTGTCTTTCTTTCTGTTTTAGTATAGGCTAGGATACAGAAAGTATGCCTGCATGCTTGGATTTATTTGTGGAATATATTTTGAACAGCAGACCACCATGGGTGAAGTGTGAATTCTGCCTTTTGCAGAATTCAGTGAGGTTGCATGTGTGAAATCATAAGTGTGAGTCACTGGAGAAAGGATGCACTATAACCAGTAGAACAAGGTGGGACCAGGGACACTTGGAAAACAATGTTAGATTCTTCAGTTAATTCCTGTAGTGAGACTTGATATTCTCAGGTAAGGTATCTTGGAACATCCCTTCAAAGGTGTGCAAGTCAATCTCATATAGTTTTTGTGCGCTGAACTAGTTGGCTTCTTCTGATTATTAAAATAAAAATAAAAAAAATCTGTAATTCATGCAAAATACCAGTAAAGAGGTTCTAGTAGAAAATGGCATGTCTTTCAGACCAAGACCTCATGCACCCACTGCAACTTCAGGTTAACTCCTCTTTCCTCCCCCGCCCCCCTTCCATTTCAGGATCGGGCAGGACTATTGGAATTGCTATGGGTAAGTAAAGATAGTGTGTGTTACTTCAGAGTACTGCTGCTACTTTTAATTTTGTTGGAAATGATCATGGAACACTTAATGCTTTATGTTGAGAACTCATATTTGGAGGAAATTTTAAGTCTCTTTGGCAAGGGTTCTTTTAGAGTACAGATAGCGATACCCACCACAGGATCTGGAATCTTTTTTTTCTACTGAGAAGCAATCTCTGCTTTTATGTGCACACAAATACATCCCTATGCTAACTATCTTTGCTGTTGCTTTGATGGGAAGAGCTAGATTCCAAGCCAGTATAGAGCTTGCCCTTGTTCTCAACAAGTTGCTTTCTAGGTATTTGAAAATATTCTGATGCCCACAAATATTTACTTGATGAATGTCACTATGATGAGTTTGGCTACTGCTGGGCAGGCAAAAACTGGTAGTGTTACTGGACTCTGTTCTCCAAGGAATGTTCTCTATTCACTTCTGCCCAGAAAGGGGCTAAGGGCAGCTCTTTGGTTGGCTCACTGC